AACTTGAGAGTTAAGTTATAACTTTTTAAAGATAGAATGTCCTTCGAGATTCCTAAATCTATTTCAGGTTTGGCTGGTTATGTAATTGGAAGTTGTTTATAATACAGCATCACCTTGATTACTCCACAGGAGTTAAGAATAGGGCTTCTTAAAAATCACGGGATGGTGTTTGGATTCAGTTGGCTTAAATAACTCAGTGGAGATGGGTTTCGATGGGACGTGTTGGCATACTACTGTCCTCCCTAGGAGAATCTCATCTAGGGTTAAACGTCAGAATTTGAGTCTTGTGGGGGAATGGAAGACAGTTGAAGCAGGTCTTAAATTCCTGACGCTCTGGGTTCCACACACCAAGAGCTGAGATTATGACCGTATGCCAACACATCTGGCTCAGATTTTGACCTTTAACATTTAATTATGCTAAATCCCCTATAGCATTTTAATAATCATTATTTCCTGCTCTCCACATAACTTAGTTCTAAGTTGCTGCTAGTGTAGGTTTTGTTGCTTCCAGGGGTTAAATTCTAACATTTTGAAGAATATGGGGAGTTAGTCTATGGAGTTTGTCTGGCACAGAGACATTCTAAGCATTTGGTAATCACAGCAGCATGTTTTATGTTGCTGTTTGTTTTCATACTTCCATACCTACAACTTTTGGGTTTTTTTGTTTTTTTGTTTTTGTTTTTGTTTTTGTTTTTTTGCTTTTTCAAGACAGGGTTTCTCTGTGTAGCCGGGGCTGTCTTAGAATTCACTCTGTAGACAAGGCTGGCCTCGAACTCAGAAATCCGCCTGCCTCTGCCTCCCAAGTGCTGGGACTAAAGGTGTGCGCCACCACCGCCCGGCTCTCTACAACTTTTATAGCATTTGAAGATATGAGAAAATTTACCAACCCAACAAATACGAGTGTTTACCTCAGCTCAAGGTACTTCTCTTAGCTTTTGGACCATATAAAATAGAATGAAATCATACAGAAAAATGGAACAGATATATGCCAACTGTGAATCAGTCTGAGCCTAAGGCCAATGGCATTTACAGGAAGTGCCATGAGTCTTTAGGCGACTGGAAAGAGGGAGACAGTCCCCTCACAAGACCATGAGGTAAGAGTTGGAAGGAGAGCCCTTTATCTCTGGATGAAACGGCTTTCCAGAGACTGCTTCCTATGGTTCTCTAGAAGAAAGGTGTCCTAGAAAAACGATGAAGCTTCTGTGTTTGACCTGCCATGCTGAGTAATTCCTTACTTGTGATCTACCTGTGACTGAAGAGGATGAATTCTGCACCTTGTGGTGATTCCAGTGAGACGGTATGCAGAGGAGGTAACTCAGGAAGTCTCTACTGCATGGATTTAATATGGAACCACATAGGCATGGTCTGAAAGAGACTTTCAGGGATTGTCAAGGATCAAGTCTACTCCCTATGTGATCAGAGGATATGGCAAATGGAGCAGGCTTGCAGATAATAGCTGCTTACCATTCATATGATATTGAAGGCCTGGATATTTAAGAAACAACCATAGGCTCTAGTCAGAAGTAGGCAAGAGAGAAGGAGTTGTAACTACCAATTGCTAGGTAATGTGGAAGCTGGCCAAAGGCTGTGAAGAAGACCATCCCATGCTGGGACACCTATGACAGTTCTATAGCTTGGGAACAAGACAGCTGTTCAGAGGTGACAATACAAAGCCAAACACTTTCGTGATCTTAGACACTATTTTATGCAACCATCATATTTGTGGAAAACAAAAGAAAGAATTCTTGCAAGAATTTTCATTCCAGTTGGACACTGAGGATGATGGTCAGATCGTAAACGTGGAGATTGTCAGTGGAAATGCAAGACAACTGTGCAAGCATAGGTTAAGACTGCATCACCTGGGATAGAAGTCCGAGCACAGCAGGAACGAACAGCCTTGCTGGCCCTCTGGCTGTGAGTAGCCTGGATCCACCCATCTCTCTCTTTCCTCCAATTCCACCTTTCTGTTCTCTTTTTCTCCTTCCAATTGTGTTTTCATACTAGCATTTCAAATGGGTGATGTGTATTGTCTTTGCTTAGTTTTGTCTGTCTGTGTCCCTGGTGAGGGAGTGAGACAAGGCTAGACACTCACATGCTTTTATCATGTGTGCTGCCAGCTGCTACCCACCTGCAGCTTTTGAAATGAAGTTTCTATGAAAGTTAACAAAACAAGAAAAGAACAATCCCTAGCCACGTTCTCCATGCTGCATGGCCACACAGAGCTACTGGCCACATATTGTTTGTACGTGTGTCGATATGGCAGCCATGGGAAAGCCTCTAAGACAGCAGAGTTTCGTGTATACAATATTTAATTTGTTCATGTAGGATAAATACCTGTCCTATTAAAATTATTCCTTAGGTTTTAAGCCTATTATCCAAAAATATATTAAATATCACCCACTCTCCTCCCCGTACCCCTTACACATATCAACCCCCCACTCCACCCTTTCCTTCTCTTCTGAGAAGGGGAGGCCCCCACCCCACCCCTGGGTATCACCACCCACTGTCACATCAACTCACTGCAGGACAAGGTGCATCCTTTCCCACTGAGGCCGGACAAGGCAGCCTGGCTAGGAGAATGGGATCCACCGGCAGGCAACTGAGTCAGGGACATCCCCCGCTCCAGTTGTTGCTTCTTATCTAAAAAGGGACATGTTGTAAGCATAAGCCACTTCAGTTACTTTGGCTATTGAAGGAGAGACCTAGGGATGAGGAGAACAAAGGATATTTAAGGTCCCAAAATAGGAGGAGGCAGGAGGAGTGTCCTAGTGACTAGAGATGCCAAGTTCCTGCTAAAGGCTTTTGAGGTCATTCACAGAATAACTGACTACAAGTTCCAGCTGTAGGCTCATCAGTCAAGCCAAATGGGAACCCTGCCCACAGAAGTGTAGGGCATTTGTTCTCATTCCTGTTCGGTGTACTCCAGGCCACAGCAGGACACAGAAACCTGCCCACTGTAAAGCATGTCATACTGCCAAAAAGGCAGGGAGGCCACTCTGAAAAGGGCTCTCATGATTCACCTGAACCCCCAGCTGCTTGGCTGAATGAAGCCAACAGCTTGAAATGTGCTGTGGTCCACACTGCACTGCCCTTGGTCTCCCTTAGCCTAGCTGTTAATCGGCTGGGTCTGGATAGCAGGGTGTAATGGATTACATGTCATCCTGCAGGATTCCGGGGCACCAAGGTGGCTTGCAGCATTTTGAGACAGGCTTCCCAAGGACTCAGTGAAAGTTGAAGCAGGCAGAGGTGGAAGGGTATATCCTCCCCCTGATTCATCATGAGCGGAGACAATACCACAGACACTGCTGTTGCTAGAAGGGAAAAGAAGAGTCCCCAGTTCCCAGCAGATCTTAATCTCTACTCTTGTGCCTGACTGAGGCCTCGATGGACTCCTTCTTGGATTTTGCTTTCTTTCACTCATTCTTTCTGTATTTTTATTGTTTAAGCTTTACAGGTGGGTTATGAAAATTGTGGGACCCGATGTTTTCCCATTGCTAACAGTCAACAATGAGGAAACTTGAAATCCTTCCCAGCGTTCTTTGATAAGTTCTAACAGCAATGAAATAGGGTTCTTAACACAGGTTAGAGCTGTCGCAGTTCCTGTGATCTTTTGACAGTGAATCATTTATTATGTTACAAACATTACTGTGACATGGACTCATGGCTCTGTGTTTCCATTCTGACCCACATATATTTCATGTAACAATTATATTTGCCGATAGCTGTGTGATATTCACAACTAGGATATCTTGCCCACAAAGGCACTGAAGCTACAGAGAGGTGTCAAAATAGATATTTAGCATCAACACAAACATGCATTTATAGTCTATCTTGCCTTTCAAACTGGCAACTAAGTACTCATTGCCGAAGAGCAGCCATTATAGAATATATTGCAAATGCATCACAATGTTCCTTATTTTATCTTACATTTAGAAAGTTCTGTCAGCTACAGAGTCAGCAAAGCTGAGTAAATAAACACCGGAGACTTCTGCTGTCTGCTCACTGTCTCTGTACTGTTCAGCTGTCTGCAACTGAATGACCAAAACCATTCATTCATGACCATAAGGAGTGCAAGTTCTTTCTAGATGATTCTGACAGTCTGACTAAAATTATAAACACATGTGTCCCACCCCCAGCAACAATTAGACAATGACCAAAAAACTTACTAAGTTGGGAAATTTAGAAGTTTAGAAAGCACTTGTCATACCCAAGAGCTTCTAGTCAGTTCTTGTCAGACACAAAAGCATCAGATATCTATAAGAGGTTCCCCTGTTTTAAGGAGTGGCACTTTGAGAATATTGACACTTGAGAGAAATTATTTGATTAGATTGATCCGTTTTTGTTCACCATTCATGCTTGTTTGAACGGCAGTTGTCCAGCTAGAGAGACTGTTAACAAAATGCAAATCTTGCACTTCTGCACTGGCTCCAGGATCTGTAAAGCTCGATGGATTCAGGACTCGTATTTTCTGTTACTGGGTTTGGGCAAGTGTTCCCTAGGAACCCGGCAACTGTGGTCGGATCACGGAGATAAGGAGGGAAAGGCTGGCTTGGTTGTACAGGTATGCTGCTAAGAGGAAACGGTCTCGAGTCTTTGCTGCTGTGTACAGAAGCATGAAATAGAATTCAGGGGCAGTGGCCTCTGCATTTTCCAGAGTCTCGGAATTGCCTGTCCTCTCCTCAGGCTTCAGCAGCGAGGAAGGCATTTAATTTCCTGGTGCTGCAAACACTCTGGCCCAGCTCCTGGCGGTGGCGGCCTGTTTACTTTGATGAGTAAGTCACAGGGCTGTTGGCATGACAGGAAGAGGAGACTTTAACCCTTTTCAACATAAAACTACGTTTTCTAAATTGTTATCTCCTCCTTGAAACGTTCATTCTTCTAATTTCACAAAAACGTTCCCATGGAGTTAGCGATGCAGCTTGCCTCTAAGGCTTTTATAGACTGTGTCGTGGCTCAGTCTGGACTAGCACTGATTGGGTACTGTTTCTGCTTTCTCCCAGCAGTTAAACCCACCTACAACAGCTTTTTTGTCTACTGCAAAGGTCCCTGCCACAAGGTCCAGCCTGGAAAGCTCCGAGTTCAGTGCGGCACCTGCAGACAAGCAACCCTCACCTTGGCCCAGGTAAGGAAGCAGCAGCAGTGTCCTCATGGGAATGCTGTTGCTCAGATTAATAAATGTCTTTGGGAGCCATCATTCCCTGCTTCTGATTGAATATGACCACGCCGAAAGGAAGATGTTATTCTGGATGGCTGTGATTGCTGATGGCATGGAAATTTCATGTCAAATGTAGCTTTCCCTCTGTTTTTTTTTTTTTTCCTGCTCTGTAACTTTCTCTGGTGCACAGCCATGTCCCCGACTACACACACACACACACACACACACACACACACACACACAGAGAGAGAGAGAGAGAGAGAGAGAGAGAGAGAGAGAGAGAGAGAGAGAGAGAGAGAATACCTTTTTTTATCTTCCTTTTTTTTTAGCTCAGACCTGCAGAAAGGCTGGGTCAAGCCTGTTTGCAGAAGTGATGGGTTCCCACTGGTGGACATATTTTACAGAAGAGCCTATGGAGTAACATCTTTGAGTTCTGGAAGTGTGCCACATTTGGATTTGGGTGGTGACAGCATGGCTGCACATGTCAGAATACACTAGAGGGCTCATCCAGGAACAGTGCACAGAGGTTGATCAATCAAGCTATAACCCAGTAATTAATAATAATAATAATAATAATAATAATAATATCAGGGCATTTGAAGAGCCTGGGCATTTGCACTGAAAATAGTGTCCCCAAAGCATGTTCTGTCACATTCCTTCTGTTTGCCTCCCTATCGCCCAGCATAGCAATGGTCTCATGGTTTCAAATCATTGGGGACAAAAAAAATAAATAAAAATATTAACACATTGTATGACCCATGGTCATTCTCTGACATGTAGATTCCACCATTCATAAATAATATTTGGTGGCACCCAGGCCACCTCCTCTGCACCTGATGTCTATAGCTGTGTGCACAGACATAGGCAGGATGGCTTGTACTGTTTGTATCTGGAGGAAAAGCTTGCCAACCTTTCATATAAAACACTAGGGCAACTGTTGTATGGGATCCATACTGCCTCAGTGGTGTTATGTACGGGAGGTGGAGGAAGCCCCGAGTGTGTAAAGTCCTGCGTGGATGTGTATTGTTAATGTGAGCTGGCCATGCCAAGGACTCCCGTAGACCCATGAGGAAATGGTGAAGATTTTCCATCAGTGGGGTAAGGCTCATTGGAAGAGTAAAACCTCTCTCTGGTCCATGTACAGAAGTTGATGGTATATACGGAAAATGTCTACTGGTGTTGTCTCCCCTGAATGTTTATGTCTTGAAGACTATTCCCCTAGTAAGATTAACTAACCATGTCTCCGTGAGTCAGCTGTGTCCCACAGCCCTGCCTCCTAATTACATACAGTCTATATGTAATGACCTCCGTATTAGCTGTTCACTGTATATTGTAAACACATGGCGCCTCTGCAGTCCTGTGGCTTCTCCATCAGAGAGCTCAGTCCACCTGATCTCAGCTTGTCCATGTGTGTGTGTGTCTGTATATCAGCGTGTCTCTGTGTTTTGTCTCTTCTTTATTCCCTCACTACCCCAGGCAGCTCTGTCCCCAGAGCTGTGCAGGATGTGGCAGCAGACTGTGATTGGATATGGCCCTGGACAGTAGTATTTGGGATGTCTGGTCACATAAAAGCACCAAGTTCAAGAGAGCCAGGTACTCAGTTAGGGATAAGTACCCCAGGTACCTGCTAGAGACCCCAGTGATGGGGGCCACTCAAAGTTCACTGTGCAGGCAATGGGGAGAGAGGGAAAGTCCTGATCAATGAGAATACTGAGGAATTGTTTAAGACCATTTAAAACATCCCAAATAAAGGAGGAACAATGGTCCATTGACTTAGACCTGTGATTCAGTTGTGTCTGGGATGCAGTATCTTTATCTAAATAATGAAATCCACTAAGAAGCCATATCATTTCATCTGAAGCAATTGCCACAAACTCTCTAGAGTTCTCGCTGAACAGGGCTCCTGCCTAGGAACATGTAGTGTGGCTTCAGTAGAAGTGTTTCTCTACATGCTCTTCTTTTATTCTGTACTCATTCTGATGGCTCCCAGGGGTGGAGATGTCCTCACCTCCTGGGGAGTCTGAATTCAAGCAACAGCAGCAACAGCAGTTTAACTCTGTTCATGCATTGCATCATTTATTTCATAGGAACACTAAGTTAAATGCTATTAGTAATCCCAGTTTTGATTTGAGAAAGCTGAGGTTTAAAGGAATCCAGTCATTTACCCCCGAAAACCAGAGCTTGAGAATTGGGAGTTTATACCTAGATTGTTTTGTCTAGACTGATAAACTCTCAAGAAAATTTGTCTTTGTGTGCGTGCATGTGTGTGTGCATGCACTCGTGCACACATGTGTATATGATACATACATACATACACACACACACACACATATACACACACAAAGGATCACACACACAAAGCATGGAAATCAGGGAGGTGATAAGATGTGACATTAGGTCTGGGATGGTGTGGGAGGGGAGCATCTGTGGAGAGGTCCAGACTGTAGCACTAGTTAATAGTCAGCAAACTACGGGAGGGCATCATTGTGGCTGAACGTTCCATTTTGTTTTTAATCAAGAGAATCATAAATATGTCATTTCATGTGTAATTTGTCATTTGAAAGTGTGCTCTATGTGGGACAGAGGACATAAATAAAACCCCCAACAGAAACAATTACAAATTCCTGCAGTGTGACTCTGTGTGTCCAAGCAAAGCAGAGCATGGCAGGTACTACATGGTATGTTAGTGCTAGCGGCTGAGCAGAGCCTGGATGAAGTAAGCAGCCTGTAACAGTCAGACAGGCAGTATGGTGTCTAGTTGAAAAACAACCATGAAGCCAGAATGCCCCCTGGAGCATAGCCAGTTCCTCATGTCAACTTGGGGACAGCCATCCACTGATACAACATTGTGCATATTTGGCCGTAGGGAGACTATGTCAGGATGAAGAATGTTTAGAATGGTATTTAAAACACATTCAAACATGTCACCCCCTTATTGTTGTGATTCTGCCACCATTCACATACATACTTAACTACATGTGTATATGTGTATTTGCAAGTTGGTATGAGAATCTGGGCTTTAGGAGATTCCTTCCAGGGAAGCAGAAGCTCTCTCTACCTCACTGGCTCAGTGGTAGCTGGGATTCCTCCTGTGAGTGGCAGTCTTAGCTGACATCCCAGCACTCTGTTCTCTGGGACCATTCCTGGGAGCAATGGCATGTGAGTCCCACCTCACATACTGCCCCCAGGAATGGATTTCCCCAGGTCTCACTACTGCTTTAACCCTCCTCATGCTGCTCACCATTCCACTGTGAGCTTTATGTGGTCAGGTGACCCATCACTTTGTTTACCACTTTATCCTGATCAGCCCACCCCGTGTCTTACCTGTAGCACAGCACAAAGCAGGTAGCATTGAAGGTTCCATCCTTTTCTTGAGATTCCACACACTGACTTCTTAGATCATAGAAACTCTATCTGGCATCTTAGAATCTATCAGCCTCTCTGGTTGTGATGTGCTTGCAATGAACTTGTTAGTTTCCTTCCTTGGGTTTTGTATCTGTAATTTTCTCTGATTTTTATGACATAATTACAGAGTAAGGTGTCTCTAACAATGAGACATCAGTGAGGTTAAGTGAGACCCCAATGTCACACTGTTATCAAATACTGGAACTAAGAGTGAAAACCTTCTCTGCTCTGCCCATAGCCCTGGCCTCCCCAAGGATAGACTGCTTCCTATGCAAATGCAGCAATTGGCAGTCTGCTATTTAATCACTTCCTACATACTAAATTATCACTGAAAATGCCCATGGAAAATATTCTTAAGGATTTAGAGGAAATGGAAGCACCATAATTTAAAGATGGTTCCTCTTCACTCGTATTTCAGATGTAGCATAACTGGTCCATAGCAGAGATGGGATACTTCCGTTGTGTGATTGGTAGACACTGGAACTGCTGCTTAGCCTGCAAGCTCCACTGTGGCACCAATGGAACAGATGCTATATCGTGCCAAGGAGGATGACTTCTAATAAATAATAGTCACCTGTTAAGTTTGACTGATCCAATTCTTTATAAAAATCAGCAGCTTACACAATGTTTTCTGTTTATGAAAAATAAGAAAACATGAGGGCGTATGCAAATGACTAATTGTAATAAACTAGCATGTGGTACATTTAAGAATATCTGGGAAGGAATTATTTTTTAGAGGAGAAAAAAACTGATTCACCTTAGGCACCTGAGTTCCTTTTGAGTATATGATTTCATTTCTCTTGTCTAGAGAACTCTGTCTGCAAGGAGCTGTGTGCCTGAAGCACATCTTTGTGGCCACCTCTACATAGTTTGTTGTTATTAGAGACTCATTAATAATGCTAGTATCTCCTCAACTCTACATACATCGGGTACATAGCAGGCTGAGCCATACACATTTAATATGCTGCCCCTAATACACTGACAAAGAAGATGGACATTAGCCATTTCTGTCCTGAAGGGAAATTGGAGTCTGAGGTTTTGACATGACCTTGCAAGTGAGTTGAGAATCAACTCACACACCAGGTTTTCTACCATTTCCAAATCAAAATATCCTTTTCATTTCACGGTGACCTTGACCAGAGTTTCAACTAGATGGAGATATCCTTTAGAAATGTGAGTACTGGCTGGAAAATAGTGAGCACAGCTGATTGGAAAAACATGGCAGGCATTCAATTTTTCAACTACTCCTTCAAAGATTACCCACTTGGGGCCATGCTGGAATGAGACAGGGGTGAGCCCGGCAGGGGTTGCTCTGTGCGTTGCGATTGTTTCTGATTGTATTTTTGAGCAGTTAAATGGGTAATTTAAAGTGACTCTTGCCACTGGCTCAAAGATTTCCCTAGGACCTGATGGTGTCAACCAAAGCATTCTCAGGGACATTATGACCTTTAACATTTAGCCTGGACTGGCAACTTCAGTTAAGAGTAGCTGCTGATGGAGAGCTCTGTGGTTCTGAAGGATGCTCTATACTCCCTGTGGGCTGTGTGTCACTAATCCTGATG